GACACACACACACACACACACACACACACACACACACACACACGCACACGCACACGCACACACTAGTAAACAATAAAGGACTTCAATGAATTATGTCTTTTATTTCAGAGTTTTAGAGTAAAATCGTGTTGTGAAATTACGTTGAGAAATTTAACATTAGATGCAATGTCACAAGATGTCACACTCAGAATATATGTTGTAAATGACTGCCAGCTACTACCACACCAAATTTTAGTAGAGTATCTGTAAAACTGGCCAAATCATAGCCAGTTGTGTTTTCAAAGGTTTATTAGTTGTGGTGGCCATCTTGAATTGGGTTTGCCCCATTCAGTTATTCAGTTGTGCATCTTGTAATTAGTTTCTACAAGTTTCATCACTTATTGGGTTTTTCCAATAAGACATTTTTACTTGGCCACTGTCACAGCATTGACATTTTATGTCTGAATCAACAACAGTTTGGACTTTCGTTGAGCAAGTTTTCCTTTCAAACTACATCATCAAAGAATGTTACACGTCTTCAGATTTTCATCTCTTTTTAAACCCTTTAATGCTTCTCATCCTGAAGAACGCCTTTTCTCGATAGGAGTAATTATCTATCTGACAGCACCAATGATAGCAGGACAGGTAATAGCTGGTAATTAACCAGCTGACTGGCAGCTCCCAAGCCTTACATCTCATTCTCTTCAATTACAGCTAATTACTCAGAAGGTGGCAAGGGGATTACTTTTAGAAAAAGAAAAAAAAAAACTTGTACCCGTTTTGTCTTTTAGCTGCAAGTCTGTTGGTGTCGTTGCTTCTCCCATCATGCCTCCTTCACTGTCTCTCTTTTTTCCCACAGAGGCCTGACTGTGTCTGTTCTTCTGCCGGTTCTTCTGGTTCTCCAGGGCCTTTAGCTTTCGAGCATGCTTGTGACCTTTGTAGTGAGCCTCTGCCTGAGTCTAGAACCATCACACAAACATCACACATACAAATATGTACACAAAGGTAGAAAAAAGGAGATTTCTTATAGTGTCTTCACAAGAAGACAGCATAACTTTGTGTAAGATAAAATAAATAAGTCACCAATGAGAGACTAAATACTGAGAGATGGATGGTTTTTCTGAAATTTGCTGAACAAGTTGAAACTAAGCCATTAAAGCTAGTGTTATCTGTTATTTATTCAGTCTCTTCAATTTCTCATTTGGTTTTATTTCTCCTTGTGGTTTATGTTTTATATGTCCCTAGTGTTTTGTTTCAGTCTGTGTTTCATGTGTACGTTCTCATTTTCACCCTCAGCCAGCGCCCCCAGTCTGCTTACCACTTACACCTGTTTCCAAAAAGTAATCACACAGGTGTGCCACTTTCCACTCACCCCCATTCTACTTAAACTACCTCTGGTTGCCACTCTAACTGCGGTTCATTGTCATGACTACCTGTCAGATGTCTCAGTGCTCCCCGTGTTTGGAAATAGTTGCTGCTTTTTCAGCCCTTTGTTTTTATTTATATAATAAAACAAGTTTTATTTTACCCAAGCTCATCGTGTCTGCCTGCATCTGGGTTCAATCCCTACATGGACCAGGATAGAAAAAAACAACAACAACAACAGAAAGCTACTTAAAAGGTAAAAGCAGCAAAACGCAAGATGGCAAAAGTAGAAAATGTTAGCAAAAAACCAACAACAAATAAATCAAATATCTAAACTTCATGACTTAAAAGCTAAATGTAAAAAAGGTGAGCAGAAAAGCTAAATATAGCTAAAAGTTAGCTACAAAATAACAAAGTATAAGCTAAAAGTAGCAAAAGGCTTGCTAAAAGTAAAAGTAGCAAAATGCTTGCTAAAGGGAATCAAAACATGAGCTAAAAGCTAAAAGTAGTAAAAAAAACTTGCTAAAAGTAGCAGAAGCCAAGCTGAAAGTAGCAAAAAGCTATCAAAATGTAGCAAAATGCTAACTACAAGATAAAAGTAGCATAAACTCAGCAAAAAGCCAAAAATAGCAAAATGCTAGCAAAAATAAATAAGTCAAAAATCCAATCATGATTTAAAAGCTAAATGTAAAAAAAAAAAGGCTTGTGAAAAAGCTAAATGTAGCCAAAATCTAGCTACAAATAGCAAAGTACAAGTTTAAAGCTAAAAGTAGCAAAAGGCTTGCTAAAAGCTTAGCCTTTTGCTACAAGCAAAAGTAGCAAAATACTAGCTAAAGAAAAGTAAAACATGAGCTAAAAGCTAAAGTAGTAGAAGGCTAGCTAAAAGTACCAAAAGCCTAACTAAAAGTAGCAAAAAAGCTATCAAATATTAGCAAAAGGCTAACTACAGGCTAAAAGTAGGATACGACTAGCAAATTATTAGCTATCAGCTAAAATAAACATAAGGCTAAATAAAAGCCAAAAATAGTAAAAAAGCTAATGCCTTGCAGTCCTCCCAGAAGAGCTGGCTGTGAAAGAGTCTGGACCTCCCTGCTCAAGCTGCTACCCTCACGACCCAACTTGGGAATAAATGGAAGATGATGGATGGATGGATGGTAAAAAGCTAGCTAACAGCTAAAAACTGCCGTTGAAGATGGCTGCAATTGAATCAAAACCCACAGAGGAAGATTAGCTTCCATCATCTCAGCGCATTCTGAAGTTAACAGATTATTATGTTTTACAGGTTTATAACTTTTTATCACCCATTTACTATTGTATTAAAAATTGAGGCATTTTATTAACTTCCAAAACAATTTTTTTTAACAACGAATGGAACTCTGTTAATTCTAGTCTTTCCATGAACATTTATGAACAAATAGACATAGATAAAGACATGTCCACCGTTGTCCTTTAGTGATGCATCGTTTCAAACGCTGGTGCTTATTCAGATATAAAACTCAACATTGCAAGATAAAGTGACTTTGCTCCAATCATTTCCACCAACTTAACACTGTGCAACTGGCTAATGTGCATTCTAATTTAAAGTGAGCAGAGATTGATCTTTTTATGACTGTGCACAAAGTGGTTGAACTTACTCTCCCTTTAGCACTTTGCATAAAACTTGGACAGCTACACAAATAAAAAAGGGCATCACTGAGGGTCAGGGTGTGATGGTGGGAATATGAGGCAGAGCAAAGGACACACAAACCCTTTGGCTAAATGTCAGCAAACACTATTAGTGAACGATTTTGTCTCCATGTACATATTGCTGGTGTATAAGTTGAAACAAATAAAGAAAACAGACAGCAGACTGTCTAGTAGTTTAAAACGGGAACGAATGGGTGTTAGTAATTACTGTATGTGAAAAAAGGAATTTGAACATTAGGATATAAATAGGTTTTTTTTTATAAAACGTTTTACTATGATTGTAAAAATCATAAATACTAAACACCTGGAAGACAGTTCATGCAAAAAAAAAATAAAAACTGCAATCAGTGCAAATTAGACAACTCAGAAGAAACAAAATAAAGTTAGTTTTATTTTATAAAAATAAAATGTAATTTGATGCGACAGATACGTTTAGCAAAAAAGGAGACGTGAAATTTCCACCTTTCCTGCAGTGAAAATATATTTTTATAGCCAAATTCTCCAGAAGCTTAAATGTTTGCCTCCCTGTCATGAAGGTAAAACACCAGTGTCTGACTCACAGTGGAGTTGAAGCGCAGGTGGCAGATGTTACACGATATGATGGGCTTCTTCTTCAGCTGAACCACGCCGAATGTGTGGTTGATCACCGCTTTCTGAACTGGGTCCATCTGAGAGATGAAACACAGACGTAAACACATTAGTGGTGATTTACAATGACTTTTTATCTTTTTTTAATCTGCTCTCTTCGAAAGGAGTCACCGCACAAAGCAAACTCCCATGTAAGAGTTAGCATTTTGTTTTATACCGGATGTCATTCCTGATGCAACCTGAGCTCGAACCTGTGGCAGAGCTCGAGATTATGAGACTTCAACACTGGCCATCGAACTACCACAATCCCACTGGTTTATAACGACACATAAAATGTAAATCCAAAAACTGGCAACACTAATACAGTAGTCCCTCTCTCTACTTTGCGGTTCGACTTTTGCAGACTCGCTCTTTCGTGGTTTTTCAAAGTACATTGCAAGATTGTACACGAGAAAAAAAGATTGTACACGACAAACGATTGTCAGCTTTAATATTACTCACGTGATTGGGACAAGGTAAAAAGATAAAACAAAAAAACTTTGTACAGGAGCCACCATTTTCTAGTTTTCTCTTAAGAAGCCTATACTGTATCGCAGCTCATAAGGACTACATTTCCCAGAAGCCAACAGTGCACTAGATGCCCCAACAGTGCTTCCAGCTGTTGTTTTCTGCTGAAACGGAGGGAAAGTTTTGATCCTATCAGAAAAAGTTTGGTCCTTATTCATAGTGACTTCAGTGCTCAGTGGATGCAGAGAACTGTACGGAACTGATGGAGAATTGGACCAGAACCGGACTTCCAGACTCATCGGTCAAGCTCAGTGCTGTTTGCCAGCCCACGAGGCCTCTCGAGCAGGGACGCGTTGCTTAGAGTTGCATTTGGGCCTAAAAAATCTGACCCGGCCCGGCCCGAACCCATATATCTAACTGAAGGTCCGGCTTTTTCTAAAAGCGTTTTGGTGCTCAAGGGCTGCAGAGAGCCAATCAGAACTGGACCAGAACCGGCTGGGAGGTCTGCCGAACCAGAACCGAGCTGGGCCGTAATCGAGCTGCTGTACACTACTCATAAACATTATCAAGTTATCTTGAAGAATAAACTATTGCTAACTAAACCTTTGCTTTAGTTTAGACGATTTAAATTTATTACCAATAGTTGACTGAACTGTTTTGGTATGTTGTTTCAACTCAGAAATCTTTCAATTTAACTGAAGTGTTAAATAATAAAAAAATTAAATAAATATAGCATTCCTACTTCGCAGTTTTTCCACTTATTGCTGGTGGGTCCGGAACATAACCCCCGTGATAAACGAGGGACTAGAGCTGGACAATAATTCGATATCGATGTATATCACGATACACTTTTATCCAATAACAGTGATATGAGTTTTAAGCACATTTTCAACATTTCAATATAATTACAGCGTTTCACTGACACCTTTCTTTTTCTGTTGGGGTTGAAGTGGCCGCTTCAGTTTCAACCCAGACAGAAAAAGGTGCGACACAACTACGTAAGTGCGTGGTGACGTAGATGTTACGAAGAGCTTGAGTCCAGAGGGTGTTAGCGGTAGCAGGCTAGGCTAGGCTAATCTCCAACATGCGGTAAGTTTTCGCTTCAAAATGAGCGCCCATGACCATCAGAATGTGACTGATCAAGCTTTCACAAGCGAAGAGAAAACAGATTAAATAATTGATAAGAGAGGAAAGACTAATTTGGCGGTATGGAAATGGTTCGGCTTTCTAAGATCCGATAAACTGCAGGTTTCAGTCAGTGTGCTGCAAAATGCGACAGAGTCGTTCCAAACTTCCATCTAGCAGTGGGAACACGTATAACTTGTTCCACTCAATAGAATATGATGAGAGTCATAAGAGGAAGTACAATAAAGTTTGAGACAATGTGTCCCTGAAACGACATCCCCAGCTGCATCGAAAGAGAAACACAAGCAGCAAACTTTTAGGATATGTTGTTGTTTAAAGTTAAAACAATTAATATTGATAACGTTGAAAGTTTTATGTTTATCTGATGGTGATTTCAATATTTTTTGAAGGCTAAATACAAATAAAAGGTGAACATTTTTTTTTTCTTTTTTTTTCATTTAGCCTTTATTTATCCAGGTTAGTCTCATTGAGCCACGAGAACTCATTTTCAAGAGAGAACATTAATTTATTTGTACAATTTTTCTGAGGCTTTTATATTGTTTATATCGATATCGAATTATATCGTTATCGACCGAAATTAAGAAATATATCGTGATAAAAGTTTTGGCCATATCGTCCAGCCCTACGAGAGACTACTGTAGCGTGGAAATTGTTGCCACAAGATTTCAGTATGTTATGATTTACAAATTTCAGAAGTGTTTCTGGCATCTTACAGCATTGAAATTGGGGAAGAGGCTGAGTGGTGAGGAGCCATTGACCCTGAGAGGCAGGAAGCGCTCCAGCTGGGGATGAGTCTGCGCCTGAAGGGGTCGACCCGGGAGGGGCAGGGAGCTCAGGAGTGGGTGGACCTGGTTCTGGGTCAGTGCACCTGAAGGGAGGAATAATCACATTTTAGCAATAAGTGGAGAGAAAGAGTCTTTTAAATTCTGGACCACTAAAAGGTTTGAATATGCTGCAACAAAGGCCAATTTCAGAGCCTGTCTGAAACCCACACAGTGACTGATTCACTCAGTAAAACCTTAATGACTTCAGTAATAGCAGGGGACAAATGAGTGGCCTTTTCCCGATTCACAAGTCCATTGTTTATCTTGAGAAATGTCTCTGGCCTTTAAGCACCCCCGTAATTGTGTGCTTCTTCCTCTGATCCCGCTAACATTTCAGTCAACACAGTGAGAACAGGATAAACTGGTTTATAGGTTTCAGAAAATATTCAACATTCTGCTGATCTGCATTTTTCAAGTATTATCATTTGCCTCCGAAAGGCAAAGATGGACGATTATGTTTTTGATCGTGTCTGTGTGGTTTGTGGTTCTGTTAAGAGAAAATCCCATGAACCACTCGTTGGGAGAGGTGGTTAGACTGATGCAAATATTGATAACATGTATACAAACTTAGGCATTGCTATTGATTGATATCAATGTAATAAGATGAAAACTTTAGTTTACGAACATTACTAGAAAAAAAAAGGTTTAATTTGGTACCTGCTTGATTACTGTTCTATTGTTTCTGAAGAAAACCTTTTTTATGATAAAGGAAATATTACCTATACATTCTACACAATTTCTATCCTGGAATTTACCGTAATAATTATCCAAAATGAACAATCCCCAAAACAAATAAAGATCATATAAATTATTTCAGATTTGATGATGCAGCCATCCTATTTTTCTAAGTCTTGGTAGCAGATTGATATTAGCGAGACTGGCCTTGCGTTTGCTTATTTGATTGATATTAAATGTTCCAGTATAGCTCACTGTTTTCTGGATAGATTTTAATGAACCTCTGGATGATCACTGGATGAACATCTACAAATGATTAACTCTTTAAGTCAAACTCAACATTGTCGCAAAAGCTAATCTACATTAGCAAACACATAAGTGGCTATAATTAAATACATTTCACAGAAAATGAACTAAAATTGACAACACACGCTCTAAGAATAACATCTTGCCATATCACATGAAATGTGGATAACATAATTTTTGACCAAAATGGCCACAACTCTAGCATAAGAGGGGGCCGGCTTTTATTTGTTATAACAAGTCAAGATTTCACCACTGCTTGAAATCTCCTTCCACAGGACCTCTCATCTCATCACATTTAACTCTGGTTGACATGAATGCTTTCAGACTCCTCACACTTTAAAGAGCAATGACCTTTAATTTGACACAGAGCAGCATTAAAATGCAACATCTTACATAAGTAAGCTAATTACAGACGCTTGTAAGGGCTTGAGGCTGTCTCGTAATAAAGTTGTGTACAAATGTAGGAATACGGCCAAAATGTAGGCAGTATGGTGGTACAACTGGTAGAGCTGCTGCCTCTCAACGAATAGGTTACCCTGGTTCAAATCCTGGTCCGGCGGCCTTTCTGGGTGGAGTTTGCATGTTGTCTCCGTGCATGCGTGGGTTTTCTCTGCATACTCCAGTTTCCTCCCACAGACTAAAAACATGCATGTTAGGCTGACTGGTAACTCTAAATTGTCTCTAGGTGAGAGTTAGAGAGTGAATGGTCGTTTGTCTCGTTTGTCTCTATGTGTCCCTGTGATGGACTGGAGACCTATCCAGGGTGTCCCCCACCTCTCGCACAGTGATTGCTGGACATGGGCACAGCAACACCCATGACCCAAAAAGGAAGAAGCGGGTAAAGATAGTGGATGGATGGCCAAAATATGGCTTATAAACTCGGCTGCAAAAGTTTTACGTCACAATACGGTAGTCCCTCGCTACTTCAAGGTTCGACTCTCGCGGACTTGAACTTTCCCGGTTTTTCAAAATAAGAGTAGATACGCCATACAATTGGCTGATTGATGGATGAGCCACAAGATTGGCATGGATTTTTTTTTAAATAAATTATTTAAAATTATTTAGCACCTGCAGCACCTGTGTGCAGCCCACAGCTGCAGCAGAAGCTTCCTCCTGCATCATGTCATATCTCTGTCATGCAGTGGAGAAATGGGCGTGGCGCTGGCAGAGAGCAGCCGGCGGAGATCATGATATTCTGTGCTCTTTTAGAGCATTTAGAAACATTGTGTGTGGGAAGAGTTTAAAAAACAAATATATATATATATATGTATATATATATATATATATATATATATATATATATATATATATATATATAAAATAAATTACT